AAAAAAAAAAAAAAAAAAAGTTATTATAATCCTGATCCTTCTGTTAATGTCTCAGTAGCTTTCAAGATACTAGACATCAAATCAATGATATGTCAGATGCTAAAGTCTCCTAGATCTTACCCTTATCCTCCTTATAAAAACTCATCACTGTCTCCTCTTGGTGAAAATCTTTGACTATATTCATAATTATCCTGTTGATGTTATTTGGTCCATGCATGTTTAACTGTTTCTTTGGCTTTGTCTCCTCAAAGTTATATGACTACCCAAGAAAAAAATGCCTGCTGTCTATCAGGAGCCTTTATTTATTTTATTTTATTTTATTTTATTTTATTTTATTTTATTTTATTTTATCAGGAGCCTTTAGACCAAACCTCTGGAGAGTATCTCTAACTGCCAATAAACACCCATTTCAGCCTAAAGAAGCTAGAGTGGCCATCGCTCATTGTTCCCTCATGGCAGTTTGGGTTACTGCTTAAGAGGGGGGAATGTTGCAAGCAGCTGAGTTAAAAATAGTATAGGCAGTCAGACAGGGCTAGGCCCTCAAGGAGACAAGATTGAAGACAAAATGACTTTGCAACTTTGGGAGAGACAGACATTCCTGCTGTGAGCCAGACCTCATGACAAAAGATCAAACAAATGCATACCTCCCCAAGGATAGACATCAGGGATTGATATTCTAAATAGGTCTCTCACCTTGAGGATGCCTGGAAGAGTCACTAACCCAGTCTCCTACAGGAAAAGCCCTTGTACTGCATCATGACCACTTGCTATGTGACTGGCTTTCCTATTTGGCCCTGAATTTAATCGATTTTACCTGAGCAATTGTGCTTGTAATCTTATTAGTTGACCATAGTTTTGTCCCACCACATGCCCACCTAGTGAGTTTCCAAGTTCTCTAGCTTAGACCCACCTCACCACATGATTTTGTTCTATAAAAATCCCCAGAAAAGACAGCTTGAGGGAACACACTCGGGTCCCCCTTCTGTCCCTCTCTGGGACTGGAACTGTCTTTCCCCCATTAAATATATTCTGCTGTTAACCTCCATTTCTTCCTAAAATTCATTTTTTTTTTTTTTTGGAGTGGAATTACTTGATTTTATTTTACACTAGGTGGTGGGCACAAAGCAATCCTCCTTAATAAAGTTGACAATTAGCTTCACTCTGAACATTTTTAATAATGCACATTTTAAAAAGTATTCATCTTACAAATTGTTCTGCAATTCAAATATACAACAGCTTGGAAAACAACGTTTAGAAAACAAAAGCCAATGTAAAAAGACAGAGTAAAACAACTACAACACTACAGGTTTTTATGGCTCAGATTCTACAGTTTTCTTACTGCATCATCAATGTCAGAAATCTGCTCCTTCAGCTGGCTCCACTGCTCTGGATTTAAAGAAATACCTTTTCTTCCTGGTTTCATTTCACCTCTGGGTCCATTCAATATTCTCTAATATCAATTAGAACTTTCCCTTTAAAGTCCCGAACGCTGACATATCTCATTTTCCCAATCTGAAACATGTTATCATCTCTGCTGCTGCTGCTCTGCTTAGAAGATGACAGAGCCCTTGAAGTCTCACCAGTTTTCTGCTTCTTTACAGGCTTTTCTGGAGCAACTTGCTTTTTCCTCTTTAACTTTTTGTCAACTTCACTGTCAGAATCACTGCCTGAAGAGCTTGAAGAAACAAGTTCCTTTGATTTAGGCATTGCTCCACTGCTGCAGTCGACAGTCTCCTGCTCGCTCGGGACTCCTAAAATTCATTCTGTAGTTTTAGAGAATGCAAACTCTGCCCGGGTATCTTTCAGGTTGAAAGTTTCATTCCCCTATATGAAAAGGATGAATCCACTGGTTGACTCATAATTTGAAGGCATTATCTGGAGGTGACAGGAATTTAAGAGGAGGAGTCTAGTTGAATGGAAGGGATTATGGGGAGCTTCACCTTAGCATCTCTCTCCTCTGCCTCCCTCTCTTCCCTTCTGCCTTCTTGCAGCTCTCCTCTCCTATGCCCTTCTGCCAAGATGCTTCTGACTCACACACAAGCCTAAGAGCAACGGAGCCAGATGATGATGTGCTGAAAACTCTAGAATCTTTTACAAATTGTTTTTGTGTTTGTCTTTGTTTTTGAGTACTGTATTATAGGGACAGATGGTTGACTAACACACTTGTTAATGTGAGGTAGTTAATACCATTTTGCTACCATGAGACAATTTGGTTATGCTTTAGTCTACAGTTCAGATGTATGATGCTTTAAAGAGAACTTTATGTCCTGCTTTTATCTTTCATCTATTTGACTTTCAATCTGGTAGAAATACTGAGAAGTTCCCTGTCACACGTGTAAGTCTGTCTAGTTGAGTTTGTGAAGGCAGGAATCTTATTTTCCAGGTGAGGAAGTTGGGCTGGGGGTCCACATTCTGAGTCTCTACTGCCCTCTCACAGCCTGGAGTTATAGACTGGGGGTCCTGGCCCCTATCTGGTTGCTTCCCACAGACCTGTCTTGGCCTTCCTCCTTGACTGTTGAGGAGGCCACCTGTGGAGCTGATTTCTCAGCACATCTATCAAGTCCCACTGGCTGATGGCCTCTGCTGTGAAAGCGAGGATTAGTGAAGAGAGGCTGACAGATGGTCCTTTTGACTTCTCTTCACCACTATTGGGTGTTTGTCAAGGGGTTTGTTAAAGGACAAAATGTGTGTGTGTGTGTGTGTGTGTGTGTGTGTGTGTAGACACCAATAGTTGGCACCACACTGTGGAGGAAGGAGGGAGCAAGAGAGGAAGTTAAGGCATGGAGAGGGCAGTGGATTGGCTGTGCCCAGCTGAGAGAGTAAATACTATGGGAAAAACTCAAGGTCACTTATACTGGTGTCCACAGGGTAGGAACTGCTGGGATGGCCATCTGTGTGGTGTCACAGCTACCAGGCCTATGAATTTTTGCCAATGAACTCTTCTTAGAATTGATTTCCCCATTCCACCTAGTCACCAAGTTCTTTGGCCAATGAATGCTACTTTCCTGGCTTTCTACTTTCTCTTGGTACCCTGCATTTTTTGCCCTTTCTTGGTGCTTGAGCTCCATCTTGTACTTCCTCTACCAGTGTTTCATCACTGTATATGACATGGCTATGAGTCAGGGGCCTCATTTTAAATAAGAACAATGATTTATCTCCTTCACAGAATTGTTAGGCTTCTCTGAGAGAAACACTGTGTTACATATACAGTTACTAGCTACCCACCTCAGCCATCTTTCCTATTAACACACTTTCCCAGTATCCTGAACATCCAATATACATTTCTAGTCCATAATTTCTTGTACCTTTTAATATCTTGTTATCATTTCTTGGCATTTATGGGCTGTTGGCTGTATTTGATCTACTAAGACTCTGTGTGTGTGTGTGTGTGTGTGTGTGTGTGTGTGTGTGTGTGTGTAATGATTTAGACTCACCTTCCACCTATAGCCTTCTATCTGGAATATACTGATTGAAGTGAAATGGTAACAAGTTAGAAAATACAAGAATATGGATGTGGTAGATTAACTAATGGGCAACTTGAAACACCCAGCTGAACTGAATTAGCATGGTTCAGGGTGTGGAGGGTTCACCTGAGGATTGTTGTCAACAGCATAAGAGAAGTGGGTGGGAAGACATGCCGTTGATTCTCCTGGCGAAGCTTGGCTTTCCTGGAGAAAAAGCCAAGGAAAGGGGACTGGCTTTCCTGATACGAACTCAGCTATTCTCCTTAGCAGAGGAGCCCAGGTCCTCAGTGTTGCTGAGGATGGCTGCAGTTCTTTTCAGAGGAGCTCTCGTACGTACCTTCAACATGGCTCCCCAGCTCTAGTGCAGCTCCCTCAGCCTGCTGGCACAGATCCTTCATCCCACTGACACAGACTTGCTAGCTTCATCTGCTGACCTTTGGGCCTTCCCAATGCAGATCCTTGCCTGAGACATTGCCATGGGCTCTAGGTCTTCAGCAAGACTCATGCAGGACATTGCCATGGAGTCCAGGGACTCAGCTGGATTCTTTGGGTGTCTAGTGTGTGGACAGAGCCCCTGTACTCTTCTTCATTTGACTCTTTGGGTGGATATTATAAAATAATCCTATAAATTATGTGTCCTATATTAAATTAAATCCTTTCCCTTGTAAACCCTGACTACACAGTGAATAAAACCACACACACACACACACACACACACACACACACACACACACATATATATATATATATATTCACACATTCCAATGATGAATGACTGAATTGAAAGAATTTACTGAGCAAATATACTCCTTGCACAATTTTGGGCAGCGGACCTTTCATGTGGTAGACAAACGTGATAATCATTACACTACAGAAGTAGCTTCCAGACTCTTCTGAGACATAAACTTTAAAAGACCTGTCATTATTGCCTAAGTTTTTGAACTCTGCCCCCTAAATCAAAGTCCTTGGGATAGCTCTGATAGAGGAAATATAACTCCCAACCTGCTAGATGTCTGATATGCTAAGTTCATGTTCCCCAAAATCAAAGAACGAATTCTGAGAAACAACAGAGGCTAAGAGTATAAAATATTTATTTATTTTTTTTATTTTTATTTGTTTATTTATTTATTTTGCGTGTGTGTGGCCAGTTCAGCCCACCAGGGGGCTGGGCTGGCTGGCATGTGGTGCTGGGGGATTAAACTGCAGTCCCTGTGCTTTGCTAAGCTTGTTCTTAATAGGTGCTTTAGACCACTGAGCCATCTCACCAGCCCCATAAAATATTTATTGAGAGGGAGAGATACAGCACCTGAGAGGCAGGAAGGGAAAGTGGGTTGCTGAGGATCCCACTGCGCAGGGGAAGTTTTATAGAACACAAGTGCATGGTTACAATGTGGTTAACAGCAAGCAATAAGATTATAAGCATAGTTGCTTAGATAATACTGATCCAATAGGGAAGAAAGTCACATAGCAAATGCGCATGGAAAAGCAAAGAATTTTCCAGGAAAGGATGAGTCGGTGAGTCTTGTTTACTGACTGAGGTGACTGATGTCTATCTAGACTTCAGGTGTTATCTCTTATCTCAGGCCTGGTTATTTGTCTTTATTTGAGGCCTTGTCTCCAACAGAAGTGATTCTATCCACGGTTGTAATGAAGTTTTGTTTCTTGCACTAACTGGAGGGTCCAGCCATACCTGAGTGCTATAACATTTCTGCCTAACTTAGCTGTCTATAATAGTTCCATCCTGGAATATTAGACCTCTGGCCCTACACAATGCTTGTCAAACTGTAGAGTGTGGCCTGCATGTTTGGTGGTATTAGTTACAACCAGCATTTTGTAACTTGTGCTCCACTGACAGTGTTGAGAGGATTTTTTAAAAATCATTCAAAATATTTGAGATTTTTGTTTTTGACAGTACTGGAACTTGAACTCAGGGGCACTCCACCACTGAGGTGTATCTCAGCCCTTTTTATTTTTTGAGGTAGGTGTTATGGGTCACTCTGCATAGGAATCAGATCAGCCAGATAGAAATTTGAATAGAGCCTTTTATTTGCTGAGCTCAGGTCCATCAGCCACGTCTCATGCAGGAGAAGGCTGCTTGGCATCCGAACATAGGTAGCAGGGGGGTATTTATAACATAAATCACATCCAGTTTGGTAAGCGAGTTTGTTATCTAGTACAGAACAACAGAAAACTACATTCACTTGACATAGCTGCAAACTGTTCATAACTAAAGGGTCTTTTGCAGCTTAGTGATAAGTGTATATTTTTACAAGATACATCTTAAGCTGACTGCATTACAGAAGATAGTTAGGGAGCGAGTTTGTCTTAACTTGCTGCCCTGTCAAGAAACAGTTATTCATTGTTCAACAGCCTTGAGCCAAGAGGAAAAATACAATTCTTAGAGTAGATAACAGGAAATGCAAGGTTTTTTAAAAAATAATTTCCCACAGTTAAGGCACAAAATTCTGTTAACCTTTTACAGTAGGATCTGGATAAATTGCTAATTTGCCCAGACTGGACTCAAACTTGCTCTCATCCTGTATCAGTCTCTCCGAGTGCTGAGATCACATGTATGCCACCACCATGTTTTAATATATTTATCAAAATGTAAATTTTAGTAAGTATAAAGTCAATAAATAAAACTATTTCTACATTTGCCTTCAAAAATTAGCTAGATGTGGTGGCACATCCCTGTAAACCCAGCACTAGGAACATTGAGGCAGGAGGATTGCACCAAGGTTGAGAACAGCCTGAGCTACAAAGTGAACTCACAGCCAGCCTGAACTGCATAGTGAAACCCTGTCTCAAAAAAGGTACAGTTCTTCTAATTATGCAAAATTAGTAAATTTGCCTAAGTAGTAAATTTGTATGAAGGTAAAATTGAAACTAATGAATATGAAACTTTAAGTCAGTGTTTAAGTAAACACTAGCTTTTTTAGTCCCATTTGTTCAAGATAAGCCCCTAGTCACACTAACTCTTCAGGAACACATGCTAGGACTATGCTAGCAATTTTGCCTATTTCACAAATTCTGACCTATTCCTACCCAGATTTCCCTCAGAGATACATTCTACTTTGTCTAACTTTGGCCTTTGACATACTTCTGGACCAGAAGGTGATGGTATGCTTTGCCTATCAAGTTTAATAAACTAGTTTATGTGATCTACACACATCTCTTGTGATTTGGGATGTTTACTGGGCAGACTCCAACAACCAGAAATAAAAAATGGGTTGTATTTGTAGG